GAGGGGGGGTAGGAGTTGTTGTGTATGTGTGCATTTGTTTGTGTGGGTGTGTGGGTGTGTGGGTGTGTGGGTGTGTGGGTGTGTGGGTGTGTGGGTAGGTGGGTAGGTGGTTGTGCGTGTTGGCTAAACACAACTCCACGAAGGAGGGGTACCTGTGACAGACTGTTTTATCCGATCGTCACTGACCTGTCAGGATCTGGTGCGTGTGTATGTGTGTGCATGTGCGTTTTTGACAATGCGTGTGGCAGGAGAATGGCGAACAAGGAGTAACATGTGTCACTGTTTATGAGCGACCTGGTCTTTTGGAGTTCCTGCGCAGGGCAAGCCGTTTTGCAGAGCTTGTCCTGTTTACAGCAGGCTTAGAAGGTCAGATGACTCGTCAGGACGATGTCGATGTTGTTGTTTTTTTTGCTTTTTTGTTCTGTTGTCTGTTTTCTTAAATCTGCTTCCCTTTCCAAAAAGGTGAACTGTATTCCAAAATTTTTGGCACGATTTGAAAGTTTTTTGGAGTGTCAACTTGTAATATGGTTAGCATGCACAGTAGGCTAATGAGGACCAGGTGCATTCCACGTATAGTTCACATTGTCGTGAACGTGTTTAATTTCAGCTTACTGGCAATGGTCGGTAGACTTAATCTTATGCCTGTTGTCTTTTTCTTTTCTTTTTTCTTCCTGTTCTTTCGTTTTCGGTTTTTTCTCTTTTCTCTTCTTTTTGTTTCGTTTCCTTTTTCCTTCTTCTTTTCTCTTCCCTTAATCCTGTCTTCTTTTTCTGTTCTTTTCCTTCTTTGCTCTCCTCGGGTACACTGCTCGTTGCCTCGAGTATGGACGGTCGTTGCTACCGTCTCCCCCCGAACGCAACGCAGGCTCATCTTGAATGCATTGGACACTAAGATACATTCATGATCAAGGTTTTTGATTTTATGAGGAAGACAGTAGTGATTCCACCGTTTGCAACTGTTCTCGACAAGCAGCATAACTAAAACAGCTCCTTCTCCTCCTCTCTCTCATTGAGGATCCCAATCACCAACTTCTCTATGTTTTCTCTTTTTTCCTTTTGAGGGAACAAGTGGACCCCCCGCAGCTACGCTGCGGTCAAGGACGACAGCAAAAACATTTTGCAAAACACCCCACAAATCGGTTGGAACCCATCTTTGCAATGTACCCTACCAGACACCGTCCAACTTTGCAAAATGCCCCAGTAGTTGCCAACTTTTTGTGGGTGCAATTGCAAAAAAAGCGCCCAATTTTCAGGGACATTTTCACATATATCCCAAATCATGGGGGTATTTGGCCAATTACCACCCCCCCAAAAGAGGCCAACGGCATCTTCTCGACATTTGGAGGAAGATATGCCAGTTTTCTCTCTCTCTCTCTCTCTCTCTCTCTCTCTCTCTCTCTCTCTCTCTCTCTCTCTCTCTCTCTCTTGTGTGCGCGCGCGCACCCTTGTGCAACCTCCTCCCCCTATCGTGACGTCCTCGTCCTCCCTCACGACCCCCTCCCGCTCGCATGAAATCCTCCCTCTAGCATGACCTCCTCCTTCCCCTGCCGCATGACCTCTGCAACCTCTCGTCCCCAGCATGCGACCTGCTCCTACCCCTCCCACAACCCACTCCTCCCCTTTGCACTGCGTCCTCCTCCCCCTCGCGCGACCTTCTCACACCTCTCTTCCGACCTCATCCAGCTCCTCCTCCTCCTAACAGCACCTCCTCCTCTCGCTCATGTGTCCTCGTTCGGCCTCCTCAAACCACTCGCGCGACCTCCTCCAACCTCCCTTCCGACCTCCGCTGCAACCTCTCGTCCTCCTCGTGCGACCTGCTCCTCCCCCTCTTCCGACCTCCTCCTCTCCCTTGTGCCACCTCCTCTTCCCCCTTGTGCAACCTCTTGCTTGTCCTTGTGCGATTTGATCCTCCCCCTCCCACTCCGTCTTCCGATCTCCTCCTCCCCTTTACGCAACCTCCGTGCGACCTCCTCCTCCCCCTTACGCAACCTCCGTGCGACCCCCTCCTACCCCTTGCGCGATCCCCTCCCTCTCTTCCGACCCTCTTCCCTCGCGCGACCTCTAATCCTTGTGCGACCTCCTCTTCCCCCTCACGCGTCCTCTTCCCCCTCCTCATCCACCTCGCACGACCTCCTCCCACCTCTATTCCGACCTCCTCCCCCTTGTGCGACGTCCGCTTCCCCTCGCACGACCTCCTCCTTGTGCGACCTCCTCCTCCCCCTCGTGCCACCTCCTCCAATCTCTCTTCCTACCTCCTCCCCCTTGTGCGATGTCGTCCTTCCCCTCTTCTGACCTCGTCCTCCCGCTTGCACAACCTCCTCCTCCCGCTTGCACAACCTCCTTCTCCCACTCTCCGACGGCGCCTGAATAGTAGCATGCGAAAAACCACCCAAAAGGCGGGGATTAAAAAAAAAAAAGGCGACTCCTCCTCGTGCGACGTGCTCCTCCCCCTCTTCCGACGTCCTCCTCTCCCTTGTGCCACCTCCTCTTCCCCCTTGTGCAACCTCTTGCTTGTCCTTGTGCGAACTGCTCCTCCCCCTCCCACTCTGTGGCAGCGAGTCCGCCTGGGCCCGACGCGGCGCGCTCCTCCGATTTACAGCGAGTCCGCGTGGGCCGGACGTTCCGCGCGGCACCGGATTTCCTTGGGACCCGATGTTTCGCGCGACACCGAATTTCCTTGGGCCCGCTGGGAAGCGTCACGTCGGGCCCTCTACAGTTTCTAATAGTATATGGAAGGAAACAATTTTATTTGGGTTGCAGTAGATGGAAAAAAAACTGGGTGCGGATCTTATGTTCACTCGCGAGGTGTTTGATGGAGTGGAAGTAACGTAAGACGCCCTTTCGATGGCTCATTTATTTTTGTCATCTACTATTTTATGAACTTCTGTTAGTCCTTTTTTTCCCTCCATCTCTGTCTGTCTGTCTGTCTGTCTGTCGGTCGGTCGGTCGGTCGGTCGGTCAGTCGGTCCGGTCGGTCCGGTCGGTCGTCCGGTCCGGTCGTCCGGTCGGTCGGTGGGTCGGTCGGTGGGTCGGTCGGTTGGTCCGTCCATCCCACTCTCTCTCCCCCACTCTCTGACTCTGTCTCTCTCTCCCTCGCTCACCCCCTCTCCCTCCCTCTTGTAATCTCATCTCCTCTCTCCATGATTGTGTTCATTTATATCGGATTATGCTGAAGGCTCTTGCACCCTGCCCCCCCCCCCCCCCCCCCCCCCCCCCCCCTCTCTCTCTCTCTCTCTCTCTCTCTCTGTGTGTGGCTGTGTGTGTGTGTGTGTCCGTCTCTCTCTGTCTCCCTCTCGCCCCATCCCTCTCGCATTGTAGCCTTATCTCCTGTCTCTCTTGTGCACTTGGCATTCCTACTGGCATGCCAATCTTTTCACTGCATTCATGTGTGCATGTGAACAACTCCCATGCCTTCCAGCTCGGTCGGTTTGTGTGTACATGTCCATGTGGACGATAAGAATGTTGGCGCTGCCCACCTGCCTGTTGTGACTAGGCCCCACTTTTTTTCTTTGGCTTATTTTCCAAAACAAGGGAAGGGAAAAAAAGTGTAAGAATTTAGAAAACCATTGCCATCTTTTGTTAGAGAGAATGACTCTCATGTCTTTGTCTGCCTGTTGTGATTCATCCAGGTTACGCTCGCCCTTTGGTTGATCGGATAGATCCTGAAGGAAAGATCTCTGCTCGGCTCTATCGTCCAGCAACGGTTAGCACGTACGTATCAATTGTCCGCAAACTCCTCGCTGTTTTCTTTTCTTTTCTTTTCTTTCCCTTTTTTCGTTACCTTTACATCTCTCTCTCTCTCTCTCTCTCTCTCTCTCTCTCTCTCTCTCTCTCTCTCTCTCT